TCACACCATTGTGGTCCAACATTGGTGTTAGTTGCTGAGAATCAGCTATAGTTGCCAAATCACTGACTTGAGAAGGCACTTTGTGCCCTTTACAAGACATCCAGCTGTAATCCCAATGACCAAGAATGTGAGGTTGGTGAACTGTTGAGCTCAAGAGCTCTTAGCTGCAATGAGCTATGGCCCCAGTATCTGCTCTGTTTGGCATCGATATGGTGAGTCTCCCAGACTGTAAGGGAAGGAGCCACTGGGTTCCCTAAGGAAGGTGCAAAATGGCCCATGATGGAAAAGGACAGATCAAATTCTCATGGCAATCAGTAATAGGATCAAACCCATGAGAAGCTCCTACACATCCAGCCTAAGCAAGATAAGGAAAGGGAAGAGGAAGGAAAAGGGCAAAGGAAAATGGACTTGTAATTAACCACTGTGGACATTAGATGTCTCTGTTGTGATATCGGCAGAGAGGAACAATTACCCATGTGATTTAATGAGTTTTTCCATTATATTTGTACAATGAGGTGCCATTTTCACCCATCCCCACCCCACAAATACATGCATACACACACACATACACACACACACATCCAGTCACTTTACCCTAATGCTCAAAGTATGCTGAATCTTGAAGAGAAAAAAGATCTCACCATAAATAAGACCTATTGTATTGGTACTATAGTACTTTTGAAAATATTTCTTCTACCAATCTTTTCCTCCTTTAAGCAGAGAGGTGATGGACTACAGCTGCAGAATGTAGCATACAGTGTCAGGCATGGTCAATGAATAGGTCAGTGTGTTTCATTTAATTGTTCCAAGGGAGAGTAATATTGGGTGGTTGAATTGGAAGTCACTGAAACAAAATGCACCCATAAAACCAGTAAAAATGTAAATCACAGATTCAGCTCCTGAAGGATAAGTCTGTACCATGTATCCTGTTATACAACTCTCAGGCTAATAAAACCACATGCTTAATTAATTTCAAATAATTAGCAGAAGTAGAAAAGTAAAAAAAGAAAAAATCCCAACTCATTGTGGCCTAGTATAAGATGGTGACAGTGGTTCTAGTGATAATCCCTGCCTCCATACTTTATCTAATCAGAAATATTGGAGAATTTTCTTGCATAGAATTTTAACTTACAAAGGCTTCCTTAAGCCACTGCCAAATATTTTATCTTGTAGTTTTTTCTTTCCCATGACTCCAATATTTTTTTCTTTTTTGCTCTTGTGTGGTATGTGTTTTAAAACATGTTTAAGAGAAACCTAAAATAGGAGACTTGGTGAAGATAGAAGAAGGAGGATATTGGTTTGGGGTGGATATCAACCAGGTAACAATCCAGAAGGTTTAGACAACTGGGCCAATGGTTGCTGAAAATTCATTTTTAGACTTGCTGGAGACACAAGGGAATTCTTAGGCAGAAAGAGTATTTAAACAGCTCTTAGGATCATAGATTTAGTCCTGGAAGAGAGACTTTCATGGTCATCTAATATACCCCCACTCCCGATATTACAGATGAGAGAACTGAGGCTGGTCCAAGGTCACACAGGTAATAAGTAGAAGAGCCATATCCACCTCTCATAAGATTGATCTGCACTCCTACAATTTTTGTTGTAAACCTGCTTGTCACGTAACCAGCTAATAGAATAATAAATCAATATTCTGTGCTATTAAAAATTATATCCATTAATAAGTAAGCTGGATTAAGTTTATATATGCATATATAGAATCTGGACCTGTGATTTCATTGTTATATGGAGTTCCCATATAACTTCTAAGTCAGGCACATTCTCTGCAACTGATGGATTTATAAAACTTCATAGAGCACATAGAAATAAGATGATTGACTTTCCTAAAGTCCCAGTGAGTGTCAGAGTTAGGACTAGAACCCAAATTTTCCTGGCCTAGGTCAGCTCGCTACAGCATTCTGTCTCTGCATCTGACTCTCTTCCTGTATGGAGGTGGGGGAAGGGGTGTGTAAGTATCTTTCTCAATTAAGAGTGAGCATCAAAAGACAGTCCAGAATCCTCCAGCTCTTGCCAGAGGCCCCCAGGGCAATCACTACATGATGCTTATTGTACAGTTATCATTCTGTGTGAGGCAAAGACATGTTCTCTTCATCCAAAGGGAGGAAAATAACACCAGAATTCTGAAAACAGCTTTTTGCCAGTCCCTTTTGGAAGGCCCTTTTAATTCAATGTTGCACAACTCAAGCAGAGGAGATGGCTAAATGGGGAAAGCACATGAGTAACAGATACCAGAACATTGACAGAGAGGAATTTCTTGAAGCTATGCGTATGCCCCTTGAATAGCTGGGAAGTAAAGAGCTGATTCCATATGTGGCAGTGTAGGTCAGCTGGGATCCAGGAATGTTCAGAGTTCCCCCCCTTCTATCTGAGATGGGTAGGCATGAATGACTCACACACGGACAGTGTCCACCCTCCCCTCCGCAGACCCTGTGTCTTTGTCTCATACCAAAATGTCATTTAGATTTTTAATCTATGTGACTCTCAACAAGCCAGTTCAACAGAACTATCTGTTTTAGCATTGTACATACAAAGCCCAAAGTATCATAGGATGTGGGTCATTATTACCAATTGATGATTGATACAGGTCTTTTAGGCCCAGGCCTTTGACTCAACAGTCATCCCAGAGACACTGACCAAATCTCAAGGGAAGTTTGGTTCGTTCTTCATGAACACTCTCTCCCTTCCCTACCACCAGCCAAGGGTAACTGAGCTAGTCAGTGTATGAAGCAACATTTTAACTTGAACCTTACCAAGTCTACCACTCTATCCTCTTACACCACTTAGCTCCCTCTTAAAATTGGAAAGGACTTAAAAGTCATTTAGTTCAATTCCCTAATTTGACAAATAATGAAACTGAGACCCAGGGAGGTCAAGGGATTTTGTTCAAGGTCACACAGTGAGTATCACTAGAATATACTACAGCATAGTGACAGTGTTGTCACTAAAACTTAGGTCTCAACTTCTCATCCTTTGACACAATTTCTCCTTTTAAATAATCTTATCTAATGTAAATTTACTGGGAATATAGATTTAGAACTGGAAGAGATCTTAGAGGTTTCAACCTCCTCATTTTACAGATGAGGAAACTGAGGTACAGAGAGGTTAAGTGTTTTACCCAGGGTTCCAAAGCTAGTGTGTGTCAGAGATGGGATTTGAATTCAGGCCTTTCCTATCTCTAAGACCAGCATGATGTTCACTATAGCACGCTGCCCCCCACTTCCACATCAGAGGCATTCTTATTCCTAATTGCTAATAGCTAAGGATTACAATACTATGCTAAAAGGATTACCTAGATATAGGACCTTCTCCCTATCATCTTCATATATCCTGGGAAGGAAAAGAGCAGTTCTAGGATTGGGTCAGAGTTCTATCCTTTCCCCCTATTCCCAACTTAAGAGTTCATTCTAGATATGAACATCTGGGCACAGAGACACATGCTGCAACTGTGGTATGCTCTTCTGGCAAAAGATTTTAAAAAATCAAGTGCACGTAAATAAGGCAGGCTAGACAATGTTATGAGTGCTGAGTGGATGAAACATTGATGCACCATGGGCTACCATTTGCTGATGGAGAAAGGACTTGAAGAAAAGTTAAGATTCTAATTTCTATTTCTCTCTCTCTCTCTCTCTGAAAAATGAAAGCTGGCATGTAACATATCGACTTTTACCACAACATTCTAATAGAATGTAAGATCCTTGCAGGAAAAGCCTGCTTCATTTTATTTTTTGACTTCATATTCTTGGTGCATCAAATAATGCCTGACACATAATAGGTACTTCAAAGATGCTATTCTACTCAGTCTTACCAACTAAGACATGTTGGAATCTGAATTGGGTGAATTGAATTGAATTGAGGCCAAATCTCTCAGTTCTCCCTCCCAAGAAAGCAAAGACCATACCAACATCCTGTAGAAACCAGATAGTGCTTGTTTGTTACCACTCTAAATCACAGAACCCAATAATATCTAACATCTTTTTAGTGCTTTAAGGTTTGCAAAATGTTTTACTTATTATCGGATCCTCATACCAACCCTCTGAGGTAGGCACTCTGATTATTCCCATTTTACAGATAAGGATCCTGAGGCTAGGAGACAGTAAGACAGACATTTGCCCAGAGTAACTGACCTAGTCAGTGTCTGAAGCAATATTTTAACTCAGACCTTAGCTAGCTCCCTCTTAGAATTGGGAAGGACGTGAAATCATCTAGTTCAACCTCCTCAACCGACAGATGATGAATGGGAGGTCGAGGGACTTTGCTCAAGATCACACAGCAAGTGTCACTAGAATATGCTACAACATGGTAGCCGTGCGGTCACTAAAACGCAGGTCTCAACTCCTTATTTCAGAATCTTTCTAATGTATTCCACTGGATTCCTTGAACCTGAATGATGACTCTCCTGCCTCAATACACCTTCCTCAGCCCCAGCCTAGCTCCTGGAGAAATCATTCCCAAGAATGAAGCAAGAAACTTGGTGTTTGGGCCTGAGTGTGTCTCAAATCCCAACATGTCATGGTTGTTAGAATCAAAGAGAACAGCACCCGTAATGCTCCGAGAAAAATCCAGGACCTTCCCTCATCACAGGCTTCTGGAATGGTGGCTAAGAAGTAACTCCAGAAAAAATGGCAGCAGGCTGACAGTTTCTGTACCCAGCCCACAAACAGTAATACCTCTTAAAAAATCTTAGGGTTTCCTATATTGAGTTGCTTGCTGTTTCAGTGAGGGTGGGTGGGGAGGGAGGAAGGGAGAAAATTTGGAACCCAAAGTTTTAAAAACACATGTTTAAAAAAAATGTTTTCACACGCAACTGGGAAATAAGAATACAGGAAATGTCACTTAGTTAAAATGGGGGTGCTCAGGCCACGCAAAAAATGACCATGCAGGTTAATAGGCTCATAGATTTAGAGCTAAAAGGGACCTTAGAGGTCATCCAGTCCAAACCCCTCATTTGTAAAATGAGGAAACTGAAGCACAAAGTTGAAATGACCTGCCCAAGGTTACATAGGCCAAAAGTGGTAGAGCTAGGATTCAAACCCAGGCCCTGACACCAAATCTCATGCCCTTTCCATTATGCTTCTTCTTAGTCTCATCATTCTACTCCTGCACCTCTTGCTTATCAACTTTAGAGGCTCATTGGTATGGTCCCTCATAGCACCTCCATGAGATGAGATCAATGTGATTAGACCCGATGTGTGGGTACAGTTCACAGAGAAACAGAGCAGGGCCACAGAGAGTGGACAGAACACTACAAGTGTCAGTGCCCAGTCTTCTGGCTCTCACCCCATCACTTTCCTGAAAGAGGAATTGTTTTTGCTTACCCTAAAATAGCAAGGACAAATAGAGCTGTCTATGGGTACTAGGATAGGGAGGCCGGCCTCAGGTAAGTAGATTTTGAGAGGACCTTGTTATACACCTGGGCACCCTAAATCAGCTCAGAATTTTTTTTCCAACCAATATAGCTCAGCTGCCCCAGCTACCCTAGCTTCCATGTAAGCTGAAGAACCAGGATCTGCTTCCAGGAAAATGGTGGCGAGAGAGAGAGCAATGGGTATAGTCTGTTGGCCCCATTAGCTAAGCACACCAGACAGCCCTGCAGAGTTATCCCAGAGAAACAAAACCCAATGTAGCTCTGCTCCCTGGCTTCTCCTTCATCCAACCTGAGAAGAGAGGAATGGAAATAGGGCCATGTTGCCACATACACACACATACACTGAGGCGACAGGGAATAAAGTCCACCAATTTCTACCAAAGGTCCCAGGTGACAGTTCCAGGAGCCATAAACTACTCGTGATGGTAGAGCCAGAACTTGTGGCCTGCTTTATCTTTCTCCCCTCCCCAACCCCAGACTTAGCCACATTCCTGCCTTTCTTCTCAGGGAGTCTGGCTCATATGAGGTGAGATGGTTTCTCACTGAGGTAATGAGGCCCAAATGCTCTGCTTTGGAGAGCTAAATGAAAAAAAAAAAAAAAGATCCCTGAAGTAAGTGCTCCCCCTGTCAAAAAAAAAAAGCTGGTTGAGGTATTTCCCTCAGAAATGTTAAATTACACACACACACACACACACACACACACATACACTCACACTCACACACACCCCTCAAATATACAAGGACATGTCCAGAGGGAGACACACACCTCTCTCACACACATGTTCATATTCCCCCCACCCCCCTTCACTGTTGCTGGATCCTACAACATCCATACAATCCTCCGTAAACATGGTGTAGGAAACACCCACAATCCTTGGCTCTGCTGATGGCCAGGGTGCCATTATGAGTTCCCACGGTAGGCGATATTGGTGAAGGTGGATGTTGCTTCTTTATACAGTGGGTTGTTGGCCTACAGAAAGAATAGAAAAGGCTCTCACATCGACCCCCTTGCTGCTTCTCTGTCCTACAAGTCTGACACTATAGATAACTGGGGACTTTGATGAAGACAACCTTGTCTCCATTTTCCTAGTTATCTAACCTATGGCTCACTTCAATTCCACATCAGTATTTGGGTTGGGAGCATACAAAGAGGAAGGGAAAGTGCAACAGCAGCCTGCCACTATTTCTAAGGGAATAAATCCTAGAGTTTCCCCTTGCTCAGCCCAACGCAGCCCAGCCCTGTCCACTCCACTCACTGTGTCCCACTTGGCTCTGGCTCTCTCCTCTTCAAACTTGGCAAATTCCCTTCGGTCATGGATGGTGATTAGAAGCTTCCAGATGAGCAGTGTGGCCAGGCCAATGAGTAATATGGCTCCCATCACCGAGAGCAGGACCACCAGGATATCGGGGCCTTTGGGACAATCTGCGAGGGAAGAAGATCACCAAGTAGAGAGAGCTGAGATTTCAACAGGAGAGACTTAAATTGGAAATAAAGAACTCCTTAGCCATCAGGATAAGGAACACCCAAGGGAGGCTATGAAGTTTCCACCTAGGGACAGAAATCTTCAAGGAGAAATAAAGAAAAAGAAAAAGAAAAGAGGGTCATTGAAGCATTTTTAAGTGAACAGAAGATGACAAAAGGAAGGTCAAAAAGAAATCCAGACAAGAAGGACAGCTTTGAAAGCTACATGTTAAATTTATTATGTGTATAATATTATATAAGTATATATGGATCCTCCATCCAAGCCTGTGGTATTTTTGCATGTTGCTGTGTATATGGAGGGAGATGCAACTTCTGATTGGCTGAGAGAAT